TTTAAACCAGTACCGGGGCTTAAACTCAGGGCCTGGGCATTGTCCTTAGGCTTCTTTTGCTCAAGGCTAGCACTCTTCCACTTGAGCCACAGTGCCACTTCTGGCTTTTTCTGCTTATGTGGTACTGAGAAATCGAACCTAGGGCTTCATTCATACTAGGCAAACACTACCACTAAGCCACCTTCCCAGCTGGACTTTTGTCTATATTTTTATATGCCTGAAGTTCTTTTTTATCTTTTAAAATAAGCTTGTACTATTTTTTTGGTTGGTTGTGGGGCTTGAACTCAGGGCCTGAGCTCCTGTGCTCTACCACTTGAGCCACAGTGCCATGTGTAGTTTTTGAAGTGGCTCATTGGAGGTAAGAGTCTCAGGGGGACTTTTCTAACGGGGCTGGCTTTGAACTGTGACCCAGGGTGGGTCCGGATTGGGGTGGTAGGGCAGTGGATACTTCCCAAGCCACTGGATCTATTGGTGGACAAGCCCTACACTCCCTCCCACCCCCCTCTCCACCCTCCACCAGTTCAGAGACCAGAACAGTGAGCAGAGTTGCACACTGAGCAAGTTATGGGATTGAAATGGGGTCTGGATTCTGCCGATGTCAGTGACTGACCAGGTGGCACCCCAGACCCTGTGCTGCCTCCCTGGGCCTCAGTTTCCTCTGTGTCTGCTGAGCAAGCTGGGAAAATGAGCAGCCAGCCCGGGCAGGAAAGTCTGCGAGGCTCTTATCTCTAACCACCAGAAAAGCTGGAAGTGGAGCTGTGGCTCAAGTGGTAAAGTGCCAGCCTGCAGTGAAAAAGCTCAGGGGCCTTGAGTTCAAGCCCCAGAACCAGCACAAAAAAATATAGCTAAAAAACAAAGCAAAAGGTCTCAAGTCTCAATCTTTCACTGGGGTCTTCAGAAGTTCCTGCATGTCAGCAAGACCCTGTTGTACGTTGCACACTGATGTGTTCACACCAGCACTACATGCACACATACAGCCATGGATGTACTGGATGCATGGCCAGGTGACACGGTCTTTTCTGGGTAGTACTGGGGTTTGAGCTCAGACTTGGAACTTTCTAGACAGGCGCTCTACCACTTGAATCATGCTTCCAGCTTTTTTTGCTTTTAGATTAATTTTTGAGTAGGATCTTGCTTTTTGTACAAGGTAGCCTTGGACCTGGGAACCATGATCCTACCTATAGTCTCTAACGCTGAGAGGATAGAAGTATGCCTCCAGGCCCGGCTTGTTTGTTCAGAAGAGGTCTTTATAACTTTTTACCTGTGCTGGCCTCAAACCACCTACTACCCATTTAGTTTGGTCAGTTTGTGGCACTGTCCCTGAGCTTTTGTGTTCGAGGCGAGTGCTCTATCACTTTGAGCCACAGCACCACTTCCATTTTCTGATGGTTAATTGGAGATAAGAGTCTCACGGACTTTCCTGCCCAGGTTGGCTTTGAACCGCGATCCTCAGATCTCAGCTTTCCCAGTAGCTAGGATCACAGGTGTGAGCCACCAACTCCCAGCCTTACTTTTTTATTGTGTGCCAGGACTGGGGCTTGAACTCAGGACCTGGGCATTGTTCCTTAGCTTTTCTGCTCAAGACTGGTGCTCTACCACTTGAGCCACAGCTCCACTTCCAATGCTGCCTTCTGAGTGCCTGAGATGATAAGCCTGAGCCAGTGTGCCTGCAGGAAGAGAGTCACTATTGTCTGGATGCTCACAGTGGGGCATCAGGAGGGGCTCCTGGTTCCTTCTGCTTTCAGAGGCGCAGACAGCAAGACTTTAAGGCAGCAGTCTTGTTATAAGTCAAGGAGGGCCCTGTGTGGAAGACAACAATGAATAATTGTCCCAGAGAGACTCCAGCTTGGCCTTCAGTTGCTTCAGATGTTGAAGATAGGATGCTGGGGGCTTTGATGAGATGGACTAAACCCATGGTGAAGGGAAGCCCAGTACCATTGCTTCCTGGCTGTGTGACCTTGTATACATAAGTTAACCTCTCTGTGCTTATACTTCTCATCTCTAAAGTGAGGATTTAAAAAATTGTCATTTGGGCTGGGAAGGTGGCTCAGTGGCAGAGCACTTGCCTTGCATGCATGAGGCCCTGGGTTCGATTTCTCAGTACCACATAAGCAAAAAAAGCCGGAAGTGGCGCTGTGGCTCAAATGGTAGAGTGTTAGCCTTGAGCTGAAGAGCTGAGGGACAGCGCCCAGGCCCAGAGTTCAGGCCCCACGACCAGACCCCCCCCCCAAAAAAAAAAATTGTCATTGTCTTTTTTTTCTTTTTGAGATAAGGTCTCCCTATGTAGCCCAGGCTGGTCTCAAATTTGAAATCCTTTCTTCCCTTCCTGAGTGCTGGGATTACAGCTGTGAATCATCATGCTCGACCTACCATCTGATTCTTTGAAGGCTTGAGCTTTGTTGACACTGTCCTCCACCAAAATATAATTAAAACTGTAATTTGAAGGCTTGAGCTTTGTTGACATGGTCCTCCACCAAAATATAATTAAAATTGTAATTTATGAGTGTATGACTATATAGAACTCATTTTGGATTTCCCCCTGCTGACCTCAGGGCCTGGGCACTGTCCCTCAGCTCTTTAGCTCAAGGCTAGCACTTTGCCACTTGAGCCACAGCGCCACTTCTGGGTTTTTCTGCTTATGTGGTGATTAGGAACTGAACCCAGGGCCTCATGCATGCAAGGCAAGTGCTCTACCACTGAGCCACCTTCCCAGCCCCCGCCCCTTGCTGATTTTAAAGGAAGAACAACACTTCCATGGATCCCTCAAGGTGGCATGGGGCCTTCAGGAGCACACAGGGACTTGAGCGTGTCCTCCTGAGTGAGGCATCTGTGGTGGAATGGCTGAGATTCTGAGTGGTTCTGGGGTCCGGGCCTTGGAAGGGCAGCTGGGCAGGGGTGGTTGTTGTCTGGCTGTTGCCACACTCCCCTTTTCCTCCCTTCTTCCCCCCCCCCCCAGCCCCGCTGTGCTTATGCATGGCGCCCCTGGGCAGGGGTCATCATTCCCAGTGTCCACACTGTGATGCCCACCAGGCTGGCTGACTTGTCTGCTGGCTGGAGAAGTTGGAGGAGGAGCTCTGAGTGGCTTTCCTGTGATTGGAGAAGGTGTGGGTGTGGAGCGGATTAAAATGTGCATATTTAAAGATGTCATCATTGTACTTGCCTGATTGTGAGGGACTGCCATGAAATATATGCAAAAGAAAGAGTAATTAATTCGCTCATTTTCCCCATACTCCCTCAGCCCTACTATAGTGCAGACTCAGTGCTAGGACCGGGCCAGATGACCCCAGGGAGCTCCCTGCCAGCCAGGGTGATGGTCCAGGGCTGGAGCTCTGCCTGAGGCGAGTCATTCTGGGTGGGACCTGGTGGGATGGGGCTTGCAAGGCCCCTTCTCTACAGATCCATCCCTGGCCAGGAGGAGCAGAGGGCTTGAGGGAGATGCTGACAGGCTCTCTACCTCCCCTGGCACAACCCTGGGTTCCGCAGGCCTGGTGGGCTGCTCAGGAGGAGGCGGTGCTGGAAAAGCACCAGAGGGACGTGTGGGAGGCCAGGCTGGGTGTGTGTGTTGGGGGGGGGGGGGGGCAGACAAGGCCCTGGGAATGGGGCGAGCCTGGGAAAGGAGCAGGTGCCACTGACAGAGGTTGAAATTTTCTTGGCTTTGGGGCCAGGACTCGAGTGGCAGCTGTTGCTCTTGGATGAGGGTCATGGCTGAAATGTTAGAGCATGTGGGACCCCCTCGGGGGTGAGTTGAGGGGCTGCCAGGCTTCCCTTAAATCCCACGGACGCATGGGATGAGAGCCCTGAGCACACAGGGGCCTTCCTCCTGACCCCTCCCTCCCACTGCGGGACTCTGGTGCACTGAACGGCCATGGCTAACCTACAATCTTGTGTTGACAGCTTCTCAGGCATCTAGAACATATAGGGGTGGTGGACCCCGGAAATATACCTCCAGAAGCTGAGAGCAAGGCCAAGGGGCAAGGGACATCTGGACTTTTGCAGTATCAACTGTGACAGCCAGGGGGCAGTAATGCCAAGTCTAATGAGAAAGTCCTGTGTTTACCCAGACCCTTTGGGCTGTGCTAGAGGCACAGGGCTGGGGAGAGGAAGGTCCTGGTTCTCCCTGGGGGTGAGCAGGAGGGAGATGAGGACACCAGGTGGCGCTGTGTTCAGAACCACAGGAGCAGCTGCTGGTCCCAGCCCTGCCCTCCCCAGGGGGTGCTCTGGCCTGCTCAGGAGGGCAGGTGGCACATCAATTCATAATTCAAGCCAACAGGTTTTCCTTTTGCAGCCCAGTCCAGCCTTGAATCAGAGCTCCTGCACCATGGACTGCAGTGGTGCACTACAACCCTTGGCCACAGGGTGGTGGGCTCAGCTGTGCACTGGGAGGGCTGGCTGCATCCACTGGCTCTGCTGTCCTGTGACCCTTCAGAGACTCAGGCCTCCTAGATTACTTTGTGATACTGGGGTTTGAAGTCTGGGTCTTCTGTTTGCTAGATGCTCTGACATTTAAGCCATGAGCCAGCCCTTTTTGACTTACTGAGTAGGGTCTGGCTTTTTTGCCCTAGCCTGCTTGGACCATGGTCCTATTTATGATCCAGCAGAGCAGGGATGATGGGTGGGCCCCAGCTGCACCCTGGCTTATTAGCTGAGAAACAGAACTTTTGCCAGGGCTGGCCTTGAACTTGGATCCCTCTGATCTCAGCCTCTCAAGTAGTTAAGATGACAGGCATGAGCCGCCATATCCAGCTCAGGCCTCCCAGCCAGTTCTTATTTGTAAAACAAAAGTAATAGCACACCCCCTTTGAGGGCTGGCTTGAGGACCAAGTAAATGCTCAGATTAATGTCTGGTGGCACCATGTGGGCCTCAAAGGGCAATTTCCCCCTTAGGAAGTGTGTCCCCTAGGCCTCTGTCATGGGTGCCCAGACTCCAGGTGCCCTGTCCCTGTCCCCTCCCTTTCCAGCTCCTCCCCTCCCCAGGAACCTTCAAGAACCACATACACACATACGAATATACAATTTTATCTCATTTTAGTTAAAAAAAATAATCGTACCACCAAATGAAGAAGTATCTTTTTTTGTTTTTGTGTTTTAGGGGAGAGGGGCAGGGGTGGTGAGGAGGGAGGAAAGAGAAAATGCAAGACAAGCCCAAAGAAAATCTTACATTCATCTGTATAAACACATCCTCTAAGGCCAATGCGGCGCCGCCGAAGGCCGCCACGCTCGCTCAGCCCCTCCCCCCCTCTCACTTCGACGCCAAAAAAATAAAAGCTCTGCCGGCCACGGCAGCGGCGCGGTGGGGGCTCTCGGGACAGCGTAGTAAAATAAAGAGTTATTCAATTCCAAAGGCAGGGACACCGTCAGGAGACACACAGAAAGTTGCATAACTCTGGCCCGTTCACTTGGGGGCGGGGGTCACAGCTTCACAACACAGCAACAGGCAACACGGACACACGCGAGCGAGCATGGGGGGCCATCCCCCAGCAGGTGACGGGCACGGGGTCCCCATGCTTCCTAGAGGGGTGGGCACGACACAGCATGGACAGGGGCCAGGTGCGAACAGACTCGCTGTCAAAGCACTTCCTGGACACATGGGGGAGTCAAGGCAGAGAGCTGGGCTCTTCTCTCGGTGAGGGATTGATTCCTCTCCCACCCGGCCCTCCCCAGCCGCTGCCCCTGCCGGGAACCCCAGGGCAGCCCAGCAGAGTGGGCCCGAGAGGTAGATTGGCATGGCAGCCCCCTACCCTGCCTGGCAGAGGCCGCTCCCATTCCATCCGAGAGAGGGGGCAGAGCTGGAGGCCAAGGTCCTGGGGACCCCCCCATCTCCCACAGTCCCTTAGGTCCTGCTCTCTGGTGGCGCCCCTGCCTCCTCAGTTCCAGGGCAGGGTGGCCGGCTGGGTCAGGGCCGGTGGAGGGGCTGGGGAGTGGGGGTGCGAGCACACAGGACACAGGAATGGAATGGCGGGAGCTGGACTGGGGCAGGCAGCGGCGCGGCGGGGTGTGAGCCGCAGGGGTGGCTGCAGGGCCTGCGCTGGTGGCTGCGGGAGGGGTGGTGAGGGCCCGGGCCACTCCTGAGACCCTTCGCAAAGCTTCCGATCACACACGATTTAGGATTTTAGTTGTGGTTCTGTCAGATGGGCGGCCAGGACTCCCGCTCAGCCTCGGCCTGCCCCTGTGACACACCAGGCGGGGCGGGGCAGGGCCGCCGGGCCTCCCTACTTGAAGGTGGACTGCAGCTCCCGGAAGGCTGCTTTCCTCTGCTTCATCTCCTCCGCCTGCTTCTTCCGTTCCTCCTGTTCCGCCTTGATCTCCTCCTCGAAGCGGCTGGACACATTGATGGCCTGCACCTAGGCCACGGGGGCGCAGGGTTAGGCTTGCAGGGGCCTCCACACCGCCCGCTGGGGACTTTGATCTGGGATTGCCTCTGGCTCAGTCTTTAGCCTTGTCCCATCTGACTACACACACAGCTCTGGCTTCCACCAGGTCAGGCTAGGGGTGGAACACTGCATTCGCCTCTCTGAGCCTCAGTTTCTCTACTAACAACCCGTGCTTGACAACTCTGGCCTCACAGGTTCTTATATGGGATTGAAAAACAAAATTCATAGCTGGGCACTGGTGGCTTACGCCTGTTAATCCTAGCTTCTCAGGAGGCTGAGACTGGAGGATGTGGTTTGAGGCCAGCCAGAGCAGAAAGCCTGTGAGACTCTATTTTCAGTTAATCAGCAAAATGTCAAGCAGGAGGGACGGCTCAAGTGAAGAGCTCCAGCCCAGAAAGCAAGCTGAATGAGAGAACAAGGCTCTGAGTTCAAACCCCAGAAACAAACAAAAAATCCAACAAAAGAAGACAAAACAAAGATGGAATTCATATTTGGTGCAGAGCAGGGCCCCATAATAGAATGACTGATGCTGTCCTGATTTCCTGCCCTCCAGTGGAGCCTGGAATGTTCCAGAGGGAGGTGAGGGAGGCCTTAAGAAGGAAGGCTTGGGTGAACGGGGTGGGCAGGGCCCAGGCTACCAGTCCAGACTTGCCCAGCCCCCGGTTCCTCACCTTGGCTTCGAAGAAGTTCTTGGCTCCCTTAACTCCCTCGGTGGAGACGTCGATCTCGGAGAGGCGGGCCAGCACGTGCAGCCCGCTGTCTTCCTGCAGCTCCCCAGCTGCCGCCTTGCGGAAGATCAAGAGGAACTACAACGGGACAGGTGGGGTGTCAGTCACAGGACACACCGGGCCTGGACTCAGGCCTGCCCTGGAGAGGGAGGCCTGCTCACACCAGGACCAGGACACACCAGGACAGCTGGGCTGTGGCCCCTCAGTGCCCCTCCCTCTCTGAGCCTCTTATTTGCCCCTCTGCATGATGGGAAGCTGGGCCCCTCATCTCTTGTCTGCTCAGGACCCTGCTTTACGCAGTCCTGTGTCTATCCACACCCAGAATCATCCAGTTGATGCTGCGGCTTGAATCAGGGCTTCACACTTTCACTAGGCATTTTTTACTCAAGGCTGGTGCTTTACCACTTCAGCCATATCTCCACTTTGAGCTTTTTTTGGGTCAATCCTAGGACTTGACCTCAGAGACTGGGCACTGTCCTAAGCTTCTTTTTGCTCAAGGCTAGAGCTCTACCCCTTGAGCCACAGCACCACTTCCGGCTTTTTCTGTCCATATGGCACTGAGGATTCGAACGAGGGCTTCTGCACGCTAGGTAAGCACTCTAGCACCCGGCCACATTCCCAGCCCCACCACTTTGAGCTTTTTTGCTGATTCATTAAAGATGAGTCACTGGGACTTTCCTGCCTAGGCTGGCTTGGCACCATCTCCCTGAGATCTCAGCATCCTGAGTAGCTGGGCTTATAGGGGCGAGCACATTTATCCCTGTCTCCCACTGGGCCCTGAAAGGCACACCTATCTTATGGGAACGAGGAATGCCCAGAGACAGTAGAAGACTTGCCTGGACTCCCAGTGCCCCAAGGATTTGAACCTGTGTTCTGGACTCTGGACCATCCCCCTGGGTTGACGTCCTCCCTCTCTGGTGGCCTCCAGTTTTCCCAGTGGCCCTTGTCACCTCCTTCCCCCCCTGCCTCCTTTGGCCTCCTGCTAGTTCGCCCATGCTCAGGGGGCTTCTAAGAACCCGCCCGGGGTTCTGGCACCACCGCTGCCAGATGGGCTCAATGAAGAACAGGCTGACCTGAACCCCAGTGTTGTGATGGCACCCTCTCTAGGGTCCCCCTAGAAGCACAGGGTCTTAATCTGTACCCCCAGGGTTGGACAGTATACAGATGTCACTCAATGTATGCTTACTACACAGCACAGGAGATACCCTCGGGCCTCAGGCAGCCCCGGGTGGGGGTGGGGCTCACCTCCCGGAAGCTGAGCTTACTGTCGAAGTCCTCATCTACCTCCTTGATCATGTTCTTCAGGCCAAGGTGGGTCTGGGGGGCCCCCAGCTTCTCCATCATGAGCTTCAGTTCCATGAGGTCAATGAAGCCATCCCGCCCAGCATCGTACCTGCGAACACAGCTTCGTAAGGACACCCCGGCACAGCCCAGATCTGGACGAGTGAGGCCGCAGGGCAGAGGGCACCTGTCTCCGTCCAGCACGGAGCGAGGATTCCCACAGGCCGGCTGGGGGCTCTCTCTGGCCAGGCCCAGCACCTTCCCGGCCTCTGAGCTATCAGGCATGCCAGACACGTCTAACACTGAGCGGAACCCCCAAGCCCCCCAAATGCGACCTCTCTTTTTGTGAGGGGAGGAGGGGGAGGGAGTGGGGGAGGGCTGAGCAGCCTGGTTCTACAAGGACACCATAAGGAGTCTACTCTCCCCCATCCAGCTTTTCTCCAACAGTAGGGCAGAGACAGACGGTGTGGCAGCGTCTCCCAGTCCCTCACCCTCCTCCTGAAGGGTGACCGTGGCCAGGGGCAGCCGCCAGCCTGTGCGCTGCCTGGGTGGAGCCGGTGGAGTGGGCATTATCAGGCTAAGCAAACACCTGCCTGCCCTCCTCCTGGGACAGCTGGAGGAGGGGGCGGGGAGAGTGGCTTTTCAGTGCCTAACAAAGCCCCGCGTGGGTCTGAAGCCTCCAGCTGGCTGGGTGACAGCAAAGCGACAGGGAAGGGCTGAGTGCTAGCGTGTGAACACACACTCCATTCCAGCTCCACCTCTGTACTCCTGAGGACGTCCCTTGCCTTTCCCTACTTACATCAGCTGTGTGCCACTCTGGACAGCTAGTAGTAGTCACTTCCTGAAGTCTGTCTTCGTATCATGATCTTATTTTACAACAGAGGTACAGAGAGGTAGTGACTGGCCAAAGCTCATACAGCAGTAAGGAAGTTGCTAGGCTTCTCCCCTAGTTCTGTGGAGCTCCTAAGCTTTCTCAGTTGCTCGGGACCCTACCCCATGTCCAGGGGCTGCCTTTCTACACAGCCGGTGTCTGCCTGCAGCTGAGGAAGTATTTGTGCCGGGGGTTATAAATAGTTCACTCACAAGTGAGTCAGTGGCTGGGGTGATGGAGCACAGGAAGGATGGGGCTCGGGGGCCTGGAAGGAACACAGGGTCCCCTGACCACCTTCCCGTCTGGGGCGATGGACTGTGTGTGGCAGATAGGAGAGGGCCTGAGGGCGGCGGGCGGGGCAGGAGGAGGGGCCTGTGGAGCAACTGCCTGCAACTTGGGGGGAGGGGGAGAAGAGGGGCAGAATCTGCAGAGGTCAGGTCGGCCCCTCAGAAAGCTGGCCTTCCACTTCCTGGCTGGGCTCTAATGAAGCTCAGTGAATATGTTGGGGTTCTGGGATCCACATCAAAGCACCGACTATGTGTGTGTTGGTTCTGGAACTTGAACTCAGGGCCTGGGCACTGTCCTTTTTTCAATCAAGGCTGGCGCTCTAGTACTTGAGCCACAGTTCCACTTCTAGCTTTTTGGTAGTTAACTTGGAGTTGTCTATGGGGCTGGCTTTAGATCTCAGCCTCCTGGGTAGTTAGGATGACTGGCCTGAGTAACCAGTTCCCTGCAGCATGGTGGTCTGTAAGGAGGGGTGTGTCCTCCGGGGCTGCATGTCCCCCCCCCACACTTACGTGTGCTATTGGTATCTGGTGGGCAGTGGGCAGGAAAGCTGCTAAGTGCCCTACAGTCCATGGCACAGTCCCCACCACCAAGACCATCCAGCCCTAAATGTCGCTGAGGTTGAGGCTGAGGAGCCCTGAGGCGGCAGGTGCCAACATGGGTGGAGTCAGCATGAGAACTGGGCTCACACACACCTAGCACCCAGCAGAGGCATCAGGCAGAGCAGCCACCATCACCCTAGTGAGATTTAGCCAGGGTGGAGGTCCTTCTCTCTATGACTCCGGGGGTCATCCTGGGAGGTCAGGATGGAGGAAGAGGAGACTGCATAGCAGAGAGCAACTGGCCAGGACACAGAGGGCCAGACACTGACCCTGGCCCTGGGAGCCCCTGTGCAAGTGTGTGAATTTCTCCCAAAGCCAGGCAAGTGCAGATAAAGTGTTTGAATTTGGATGGAAGCCTGGGCTCTGGATTCTCAGGCGCTGCCAACCTCCGGGCGCTGGCTGGGCTGCGGCTTAGACCGCTGTCTGTCTCAATCAAAGACTAATCAATTGCCAGGGATGCATCCAAGCAGGCTCCAGCCCCAGGGGGACAATGCAGGGGCTGCCGCAGCACCAAGCAGTCAGTGGCCAAGGTGAGGCCACGTGGGCTGGGAGAAGCCGGGTGTGGGGAGGGGGGCCTGGAGGTAGCTGTTCCAGGGGTACAGCTCTGCATGTGGTCTGTGGCTGAGGCCCACAGGTCTAGGCTCACTCACCCAGGACAGCCTCAATGTGTGTAGTCATACTAACTCTGCTAGACTGACATGGGTTCAAACCCTAGCTCAGGCCCCTGCTGGCTGAGTGACCCCACTTGAGTCTCTGACTCCCACCCCCTGCCCTGAGACTTGATTTACCCACCTCTGCCAATAGTTCTTTGACTTGGCTAAGAAACGGGGCAAGGATTAAACACAGGGTCTCAGAGCAGGGCCTAATCTCCACTAAGCCCCCCCCCCCATGCTACTTGTAGCAGTGGCGGCCAGTCACCTTAGGGTGCCGTGGCTTAAGGCCTGTAATCCCAGTTACTCAGGAAGCTGAGGTCTGAGGATGCTGACTCCAAGCCAGCCCAGGCAGATAAACGGGAGAGACTCCGATCTCTAATTAGCAGAAGTGAAGGTGCTGTTCAAGTGGCAGAGTGAGCAAAAGAGCGAAGCAAGAGCACGAGGCCCCGAGTTCGAGTGCCAGTACCAGCACACAGTATGTGCGTACACACAATGACCAGTGACCGTTGCTGGTGCTGCCGCCTGCAGGACTATTAAAGAGAGTGAGATTGTGGATACAGAACAGCTCGCGCGTAGCAGGTGCTCCAAACCTGCTGATTTCAGCGCAACGCTGGCAGGTACTTGATGAACTTTTTATGAACATCGCTATGATACTGGGAATGATGAAAACCAGCTGAGCCCCTCCTAGGGCTCCAGTCTGGGTGGATGGGGCTCATGGAGGATGAGACTGGGGAACGGGGTGGACAAGGTGACCCGGGGACCCCCTGGCCCCCACAGCCCCTGTCAGCCCTCCCCAAGCACCCAGCAACGTAGAGGGTGGAATGACAGAGTGTGTGCCCCTCTGGCTGGCAAGGAGGTGACAAGGGGCTGCCAAGGAGCCAGCAGAGAATGAAGTCCTTGGGTGGGAGGAGATGGAGCGTCCCTGGCTGGAAGCTCTCGGCTGGAACATCGGTGGTGCAGGTCAGGTCATATGACCCACATACAGTCTGGCTATGTGCTTCCAATTACAGAGGGAAATTGGGGCCCAGAGAGGGCAGTGAGCAGCCCAGGGTCACACAGCAGGTGGGTTTCATGATTCTTCCTAGTTCCTTAGGATCCCACATTCTCAATCTTACACGGCCTCTGGGGCTGGGCTGAGAGCCCTACCTGGAAAGGCCAGGGGCACCCAGAGCATGGCACAAAGCCTGGGAGCTCAGCAGTTCTCTCAGCACTGGGGCTGGCAGGGAGCCCGCATTCCTGTGTGCTCTCCCTGAATGGCTCTCACCAGGGAGGGCTAGGCAGCTGCTGCCCCGGATGCTGGTGACAGAAACCCCTTCCCTCCCCCCTCACAAGTGGCACACCCGGCTGCCATCCAGGCAGACACCATCCTCTGGGTTGACCCAGCTGCCTGCTGCCCCCGGTGCCCCCAGATCTGACAACTGGAAGCTCCCACGTGGGAGTGGCTGGTCGCATGGCATGCAGTACTGGTGCCTGGCTGTGCGCCTCAGCTCACCCCTTTCACACAATTACCAGACCAGTTACTCTTTGCTGAGCAGTTACTATGTGCCAGGCACTATGCCAAGTGTCTGAAGAACTCTATGAAGCAGGCGTAGACACCCCATTCAGCAGACCAGGAGGCTGAGGCTCAGAGAGGAAGAGCATCGGCCAAGGTCAGGGGTGACAAGGGGCAGCAGGGGCCCCATCCAGGCCTCATCAAAAGCACTGCTACAAGCCGGGCGCCGGTGGCTCACGCCTGTAATCCCAGCTACTCAGGAGGCTGAGATCTGAGGATCGTGGTTCAAAGCCACCCTGGGCAGGAAAGTTCATGAGACTCTTATCTCCAATATACTACTCAGAAAAGGTTGGAAGTGGCGTTGTGACTGAAGTGGTGGAATGATAGCCTTGAGTTCAAAGAGGCTCAGCGATAGTGCCCAGGCCCTGAGTTCAAACCAGAAAAAAACAACAAAAAAAAAGCACTGCTACAGATGTGCTGTGAACCTTCTAGGACGGGAGCGTCCTTCTTCCCTCCCCTCAGTGGTCCCGTCTGGCTTTGGGCTATCGATTACTGCAGGCATCTCCCACTCCCGCTGGGCTGTGCAGGGTGAGGGCAGAGTGATCTCAGGGTGTCCCTCCTGACCCAGGACCCTTGGGGGTGTAGGACAGATGTGGGAAGGGACACTGTTTATGGGCTCAAAAGCCACCAGGCCCACCTGGCTTTGGACTCAGCACTGAATTGTGATCATTATTATCTACCTTTAGGATTATCAGAGCAAGTGCAAGTGCTAGACTGGAGGTGTGGCTCGGTGGTAGAGCACCAGTCATAAGCAAGAAAGCCATAGAAAACCTGAGGCCAAGTTCAAACCATGGTACTTGTGCGCACGCACGCACGCACACACACACACACACACACACACACTCATGCTAGACTGGAAGCTTGGCTCAAGTGGGAGAGAGCCAGCTGTGAGTGAAAATGTGGAACAGGAGTAAAGGGCCTAACTTAAAGCCCTGGTATTGGCAGAAACAAGCAAACAAGAGTGTGATTATGGATACAAATTGGCTAGCACACTAGGCACTTAAAGTCTCTTAACCCAATTACAATGACAGCGCATCTCCCACTGGTTCTCTCCTAGCCTATGCCCAGAGCCTCTACTTTATGTCCCAAGAAATGGGAAGACAGGTTGCTCATAGCAGGAAAGTTCTAGATGGCAATACCTTGCTAGCT